ACATGACCATGACGTTGTTGTCCAAAATGTTTTTCAACAATTTCAAGGTTTGAAAGTGATGGTTAGACCTAATAATCTTCACAATTTCATTCTATAAAAAGTTTACAAGTAAACAAGATTAATGCAGAAGTATATCAAGATAAAAAGATTAATGCAGAAAGGCTAAATAATGACACTTAGCTTACATATTTTTCTTCTTCTTTTGTCCCATTTAATTTTTCAATTTTGCTTCTAGTCTTTAAGAAAATTACTCCCAAGTCAGGCGGTTGTGAATCTTTACCTCCCAATAAGTTGAGAAAAACAAATGTCATTCTAGGTAAAAAAGAAAAAAAAATTCATATATAACTAGCAGAACTGTTTTTTTTTTGGTACATTTTCAATATGATTTCTCTATGTGGGTTACTCCCTGTGCGATAGGCATTCCATATCTGATGTTGACCTATTCTTAGTGTTTTGCTAACTGATTTTCTGCATAACTTTCAAATGTAAGTGATTATTTAAATAAAAAATATTTTTTTATAATATATAAAAACCGTCATTACCATATCAGATCAACATACTTGAAACTTTTCTGTCATAAATTTGTTAGTGACAAACCACTTCCAATCTTCAACATTACTCCAGGTGGAACACTTTTTAAACCCTCGGTCTTACTTGATGCAAGGTCTCAGAAATTTTATATTCAAAAGTGACCTCCAATTTGTCCACAAAGTATAGATATGCTCTAGGGTATCATCCACGATATAACTCATATTTGGATTATCAAAATATTTGAAATCTTTTAAATTTCAGTGTAATGTGAAAATTCAGCATTCTTTGACTAACTATATGATTGAAGAGGGAAATTCACTTATCTATTATTGATTGCAAGGTTTTCATTACTAAAGAACCTTCTTTTATCATCGTAGCTGCAAATTAAGCTTTTTATTTGAATCTCTTGCTTCTATCTCGGGTCTCTCAAGTTGCATGTAGACATGCGTATTTAGTCTTTCATTTCAGATGTAGTTTGATTTGCTGGTCTTTTGGTTCTGATCATTGCGGCCCTAAGTCACATCTCTATTGTGTCTAAGGTCGATAGCTCAGCTAGTTATGTTGATGTAGGTGGTGAAAATCCGACTACAACAGCAGAGAGGTTTAAGCCCTGAGCTCCTGAAGTACAAGGGGCCTATACAGTATACACTGTGCCCGAATGATTGTTCGTGAAACGGGATTCGTGGTCTGTGGGCAGGGGCTGCCCCAACAGTTATGCGAAATGGGACGAACCAGGCGGCAATGTTCACAGCCAAGAATGCATTTGATAATGGGAATGTCCTTCAGCCATGGCAGTCTATGATTTCGGGTTTCCTTGCAGGGACAGCTGGTCCTATATGCACTGGACCTTTCGACGTTGTGAAAACGGGCTGATGGCTCAAAGCCGATCAGGGGGTGATTTGAAGTACAGAGGACTGTTTCATGCCATCTCAACTATATACACCGTACCGAAGAAGGTATACGTGCTTTGTGGAAGGGTTACTTCCCCGGCTTATGAGGATCCTGCCTGGACAGGCCATTGTGTGGGCTGTTTCTGACCAAGTGATTGGTTTGTATGAGAGAAGACATATACAAAACGCTGCGCTATAGCGTATAGGTAGCTCGACAATTACTCCACATTTCTCCTCTTTTTCTTGTGGATTGTAGTTCCATTCTTTGGCAAAAGCGTGCTAGCTGTTTTGGCCACTTTAGATTCCCTTAAATTAGTGGTAATGTCGAGTGAGGGACAGTTCTCTTGTCCCTGGCAAAATGGTATTTGAACACAATAAGATTAGAATAAAATATTCTAACAATATGAACTCCTTATCTTACAAGCACATGTTGATATTTGATAGTGATAATTTTTCCCTACATGTTTTATGTGTTGTGAAATGTGTGTCGTAGGTTATCATGTGTAACTATTGAACAAAATATTAATATTTATTATATTTCTATAAAATACTTTGTAAACAAATATATATAACATACAGGGCCGGCCCAGAGGGGCGGGCAACATGGGAACCCGCCCAGGGCCCAATGTTGAAAGGGCTCCCCTAACTTGGATTTTTATTTTTTTGATAATGTTAAGAGAAAAAAAAAATTTTATTGGCATGAGCATATATTTGAACCCACAACTTCAAAATTACTATTTAACATTAAATTCACTTAACCATTACAATCATTTAATATAATAATTCAATTAATAGATACTTCATATATATAAGAGAATACTAATTTTTTCAATGCGCGATGCGTAAAACTAATGCCCAACATTAGTATTCAATGTTAAAATCATAGTTATAATTTTTTTAAAAATAAAATTTTATAAATTTTTAAAAAATTCACAAAGTTTATAGTTGTAGAATTCATATTATATATTTAAAAGTATATTAATAATTATGGTATGATTAATAATTTATTTTTACATATTCTTACATAATATCTACATATATTATTATAATTAAAGAAGGTAAGAAAATATATGGTGCATGCAAGTGCATTGTAAGAGTAATGGAAATAGATAATTGAAGTTATAACGGTAGGGGCATTGTTGTCCAAAAAATAATATAGTACAACATTTATAGCTTAATGTATCAAAAAAAGATAACAGAAAAACAGACATAAATGAAGGGTACCAACCTTCATTGACACTTAATATGTTTTTATTATTTTATTATTAGATTAAATTAATTTATAATTAAACTTCATGTAGGGGCCCAAAGTTTGAATGATCACTACTCCAGGATTAGTCCAACTATTTTTTTTTTTTTTAATAAAGTCTTAAAAAAAATTATATGTAAATAAAAATTCAAAGTTATCCTTGAATTGTTTTCAATTAACACAATCTTTTGAACTATATATATATATATATATATATATAAACACTTTAACTTTATATATTAAGGGCCCTTCTTTTTTACTTTGTCCCGGGCCTATAAAATGATAGGACCGGCCCCGATAACATATTTTGTAATATAACTTAGATATTTAATTACAAGATAATGTCTCTTCAAAAAAATGTTTTTATAATTGTTGTCTAAATCCATCTTTCTAAATCTATAAAATGATCTAAATATTTATAATTAACTCCAAAAAACTTGGACAGCATTCCTTTGATAGGAAATTTTATATCATACGTTATTTAATTAGTTGTACTATTAAGTTATTCAACGTCATAGAGAGATTACATAGTATGTACCCAAAAAAAAAAAAAAATACAAAGAGATTATATAGCATCGATCTACTTTTTGATTATCTATTAGTGGTTTACTTCATTACGAAATTTAGATTGTATTATTTGTGCTCATTTTTTATTCCTATTTTGTTTGAATTGATGCGTCTCTTAAAGGTTTTTGTTTCTTTTTTTATTGTTGATTATACACATGTATGTATATACGTATGTAGTAATATAATAAATTAGTATACAGAGGAAAAAATTTATGTTAGTATCAATTAATTAATGTGTATTAGTATATTGTATTAAAGTATAACACATGCATATACATACAAGAGAAAGCTTACTATTCTAGTCAAATGAGTTAAATTACAGTTGACAATGAGTGTTCGTTACCATAGTTTATAGTTTTTATAACCATATCCGTCGTCGCATAGACAATTATATACTTTTAGTTCACATTTTAATTGTTAATGTTATTGGTTGCTCTAAATTTGCCAGCATGAGTTGGTTTTAAATTAGAGGTCAACTTTCGAAATCTAAGCGAATTACAATATTACTTGAATTTAATAACATGCATAAGACAGATTAACTGTTGCATAAATCCATCTATCTAAATCTTGAAAATGATCTAATTATTTATATTTTCACTTAAAAAAAAAATTAAACACCATTCCTATTCCCCGAGTGAAAACCCCATTTAGAACCATCAATATCACAACTCACCATAGTAATCTACCTTCAAATTAGAAGATGATCTCATGATCTACTCAAAAAGCCTAGTTCCCGAAGAACTTAAAACACGCGGTAGAGCTTCACAAATCAATAGTCCTTTCAACAATTGAGATGAAGAAAGTTAAGTCAATAGATCTTATAATAGTAAGATGAACCAGTAAAGTTTACTATCTGTTATAAGATGTGAATTTTCGACAAACCCAACTAAAAAACTTTAATTTGATAAAGAAAGTGGTCGGTAGAGCTTAAAGTTTGAAAGAAAACAGGTTCCAAAAGATGTATTCATTAAAGCTAAGGTCTACCAGAGGTGCCATATGATGAAGACAAGATGTATTCATAAACCCTAAAAAAGAGATTGTAATTAGATTTTCGATACTCAATACAATATACACAATTAATACACATTTAATTTAATTCAATAATTCCGAGCCAATCTTTTTGTTTGCTAATTTTCATACATGTCACTCCAAAGTTTACGATGGCCAACCTTTGACCCAGTGTTATAAAACCAACACTTCAATTTGAATATCACCTTATTATCCCAAAATAAAAAAATAAAAATGGTAAACCTTACAATTTGACAGCTTTTGATGAAGACAAGTAGTATAACATACAGTAAAATAAAAGTAGAAGAAATATGTTTGTATCCAAATTTCCCGACAGAGTGCTGTTTATGCTAATCTTGAATGTTAATGAATTGGGAGTGGGGAAACCTAGCTTATTATCTGCATAAATTGTATAATCCCTTCTGCCTCTACCCCACCCAATATATGTCACTGAGAGACCAAATGACAACAAAAAACTTGCAAAGCAGATAAAGTGTAACATCAAATTTTTTTCAACCTACCTAACTTTCTTCCTATACATACTCTACCTATAAATATTTGTGAGGTGACCATTATTCTTGTATTTCTAAGCCATACAAATTATTAAAAGCAATCCATTCTTTTAGGATACAAACAATCCTATAAATACCCTATAACACAATGCCAATGGCCATTGCATCTCTGCAGATAGAGACACATTTTTCCATTTCCTCTTACTTTTCCTTTTTATTGCAGCAAATCACAATAAAAAGGAAATGGAGTTTTCTTTTCTGCAGCTCACCATCTCCATAATTGCCTTAGCCGCCATTGCCCAAACATCTTTCGTACAATCCGCCTGTGACTCTGATTGCGTTAAAGGGTTTGTTGCTGCACATAACGCGGCCCGACAAACTGTTGGATCTCCACCTGTTAACTGGAACTCCACCTTAGCAGACATCGCCGAATCCTATGCCGCCAAGAGGTCTGCTGACTGTGTGCCGCAGAACTCTAACGGGCTGTATGGGGAAAACATTGCGGTGGCCTCTGCCGAATTGTCTCCGGCGGATTCCATGAAGTTGTGGATGGGTGAGAAGAAGGACTATGACCACGCATCGAATTCTTGCACCAGCGGCAACAATTGCCGCTCTTATACGCAGGTGGTTTGGGGCGGCAGCACGAGTATTGGCTGTGCTAGGGTTACGTGCAAAACTGATTGGATGTTTGTCATCTGCTACTATAACCCTCCGGGCAACTATATGGGCGAAAAACCATATTAAACACAATTTTTTTTTTATGATTAGTATGATCTTGTGAAATGCAGACAGTGCATTAAAAAAATATATATATAAATATTTAGAAATTACAATATTATCACTAATGTATTATCATGAAACAAATATTGTTTCATGCACGGATGCTGAATCAATTCAATTTTGAACTTTTTCTTTTACATTTGGCTAGCTATTCTTCGAATTATTTTTTTTCTGGGTTCGTGCATAATACTTGGTATCCCACTAATTGTGAGTTCATTCTTGTAGAGTTCTCTTATTGCAGAACACTCTTTAATATGCTCCACTCAATTAATTAACTACACAATTTATGGATGGGAAAATTGTAAAAAAATGTCCCTCTATAATATGCCAATTATCAATGTCACCCATGAATTATGAGTGGTGTAAATGTTGCCCCTCAATTATCAAAATGGTGCACATATAACCCCTCCCCCGTAACGGACCTGCGGTTCCCCACCGTTGAATCGAGGTATGGAAAAAACAACTAAATTACATATTTACTCCGACTTAACGGTGCCGTACACTAACGGAGAAGGGGCTATATGTGCACCGTTTTGACAATTGAGGGGCAACATTTACACCACTCATAATTCAGGGGTGACATTGATAATTGACATATTATAGAGATGTATTTTTTACACTTTTCCCTTTATGGATTTTAAGATTCAGTAAAACTTTTGCCTAGAAATTTGATGTCTCTTTATAGAAGAAACACTAATTGTGGCCTGGTCACATTCAAAACTTCAAAGTAGGTCTTCCAGTCATATCTTGTCAAGTCACCTAAGCACAATTAATATAATCAAAATAAATGAGTATTTACGACACTTTATCACACATGTATGTTGTTGAATTGATTAACAATAAGATTTGATACAAACATTATTACAAATTGAACCAAAAAAATCTAACATTATGAAACTAACATTGGGAATCTTATTGAACCAGTGTTCTCCTTTACCGGCTTGATATATTCATTTTTGGTAGGAGACACCAGAAGCACACAGACCCTAGAGGTGCAATTGTTATACCATGAACCAGGGTTCACATTGTATTGTGGATTCTGTTCCAGTATTATATTAGACCCAATCGTTATATCTGCACTATTGTGCGCCCTGGTGCACGATATAATTTGCTTATTAGACATGCGTTGAATCTCCCCGGAAAAATTAGACTTTGGCTTCACCGGGAATAGCTTGAATTAGGGTCGTCTTGGTCTTATTAAGAAATGGTTTGACCCCGCTAAAACTGGCCTAGGACCAAACTCAAGAAATAAAATGTTTTAATTTTTCGCTTCTTCCAACACTAGATATATAGATTAAAAATATGCTAAATGGCTTTGATACAATATAAAAAAATTGATTTTAAAATATTGTTAGCACAAAAAAACTAATGATGCTAACATAACTACAACGGCTAATTATTGTGTGCACCATAGTCCACGCAATGCTGTGTGAACCATAAAAATACATTTTAAATATAATAAAAGTACATTATTCGTGTACTGAATGTATATTATACAAAATAGTGTATTTTTAGTACTCAAATAATACTTTTCTCTGAATACAATGTACATTTTCAATATATTAAAAGTACATTATTTGTGTACTGTATGTACATTATTTAATTGTATAGTCCACATAGCCGTGTGGAACATGGTCCACACAATAAAGATTGAATTACAACTATGTGGATTTTGATTTCATTAATAATTTTACATATTAATAGCAAACCCTATAAAAATAAACAACAAACCCCGAAATTAAAAGTCTTATGTAAATTTTTTAATTTATCAATCTAACATATTTTAATGACTAAAAATAAAATAAATTTTATAATATTTATAAGTTATCAATTTTCATAATGTATCAATAAATTAATTAATTAAACACAATTTAGTAATATAAAAAATCAAGTTCAAACGATATTACAAGCGTTTTATAAATTTTTTATATTACAAGTCTTTTATACATTTTTTATTTTGTAGAAAATGTTAATAATTTTTAATTGTGAGATTAATGGTTCAAATCTTGTTTCAAAAAAAAATACTATCTTTCGAAATGTGTGCGTCTCATATATTAACATTTTGTATTAACAAGTTGAAGTGCTTCAATTGAACATTGATGGTTAACTAAAATGAGATCGAGTGGGTCAAATCTTATTTTTTTTTTTAAAAAAAAAAAGTTTATGATTATTTTATATAAAAATAAATAAATAAAAATATCTGGTTTCCTCTCCTTGTGTCACCAAAGAATTTTCCCACACATCCCCTATAAAAAAGAAATTAAAATTTTCAATAATTAAAAAATTTACTCATATTATTTTTAAATGCTACTGACTCTATTACATTATACTATCTATTTAAACACACTACAGTGCCAACAACACCTCCTCTAAGGCTCGATCTCACAACCTCCAACATAGGAAAGGTCACTACATGTCATCAGAGCACAAGGTGTTTGGCAATTTACCCATATTTTTTACTATAACCCTATGAACTCTTATAAACGGCTAAGATGAATTCACATTTTTTAGATCCTGGAATGTGAACCTATGTACCAATCTTAATTTTTGATAGATTGGGATTAGATAGTTCAATTCATGTACAATTAAAACCCTTAATGCACATTTTTCTTTAAAAACAATTAATGGGGTTAAGTTGGTGATTGCAATGAATAATAATTTCCTTCTATTCATTATGATATTACGTTTTCAATCGTGAAACTCGATCGATAATTCCAGTCATGATATCCTTTGGATTTTGAATAACGCTTTTGGTGAGTCACCATCTTCGGCGACCGTGATCACTCGTGAACCCAAGTATGTTGCTTTTGATTTTATTTTCGAACGCTGATTTCAATCCTGGGAGCTGTTGTTCCTAATGATTAAAGTACGATGTAGTTGTATATTAGACCAGGGTGAGTGGGATGTGTAAATGGGATTGGTTGAACTGAGGGCAGTGGATTACGGTTTAGGAGACGCTTATCTATTGTTCCATTTCAGAAAGATGCAAAGTGCATTATATTCTTGTGGGTGGTAAATAGTTGTTATACCGTGGACCATGGCCCACACATGACCATGATCGTCAAATGAAACTATAGAAGAATTAAAATGATAGTTTAGTGTTACTATTATGAAACTAGTGTGTGTGAAAAATGAAACTAAAAAACAGGAGCACATTATTTTCAAATGAAACTAGTGTGCATGGAAAATAAAACTAAAATCCAGAGCCATACAATATCATATATTGTCAAATGACCTGAAGTGCAATTAAAATAATACTTCAATATTACTATAATTAAACTAGTGTGTGTGGAAAATGATACCTAAAAATTGAGCTCAAGCAATAATGTATATTATGAAATGAAACTATAATAGATTTAAAATGATACTTTAGTATAGTATTGTTGTAATGAAGCTAGTGTGGAGGGAAAATGACTCTAAAATACATGGCATTAATGTCAAATGAAATTGAAGTAGCTAGAACTAAAATGATACATACTTGTAATCTATGATACTACATAGACCATGGACCAGAGTAAAATATGTGGTGGTACACTGTTGAAAGTCCCAACGTGGTGCAATGGGTTTTAGTATATTGTGCATATGATAGTGTAGTGTCTTCTGTTATGAAAGTCCCTATGTGGTGTAAAGGTTGGGGTTACCCTCCAAGAACGATGTTCTTTGTGGGTCCTGAAAGAGAGAGAAATGGCAGAAGAGAGTTGCAGTACTGCGCGTTTGGTGCATATCTTGCGCCTTGCTTTTCCTCTGTTTTTTTTGTTTTTTTTTCCCCTTTTTGCGCCAGATTTTGCTTTTCCCTGTTTGTTTTTTCCTCTTTTCTCTTCTCCTTTTTCCCTTCACTTTCGTACATGGCCTACAAAAACCAATGCTAAAATAAAAAGTAATGAGGATGCTCTTTGAAGAATATACCCACAAACATAGTTCTATTAAATGCACCAAGTGAGTTTAGGAAATGCACACTGATATTGTTATCCTGCGAAGATGCTCAAAACTAAGAGTAGTGTGGCACAAGAAATAAAATCAGAGTGCACAAGGCTAAATCCATAGGCAAATTAGTTAATAACTTCATAAGTATTGTGGTTACTAATTAACGACGTATAGATTTCTGTGTAAAGATCAGAGAACAAATGCATTAATGTAAATGTATTATATTAATAAAAATAAGGGAAAACTAGAAACAGTTGTTAACAATAAAACGAGCGGATTTTTTTATTTTATTTACTTCCATGGTGTGTGGTCTGTGTGTTTTTTTTTTTTTTTTTTCTGGAGAGTGAGGTTGCAACAATTTTCGTTAACGGTGTGTAACAATTGGTGAGTAACCGTGATTTTAACTCGAACAAAGCTCCAAACCCAACAAAGCTCCAAACCCAATGTCCGAGGCATCCTCAAAAGTTGTAGTTTTTTTTAGAAATTTTGCAAATGTAATTAGGAAAAAGATTATGGGAGGGATGAGAGAGAGCGAGAGAAAAAAATAACGAAACAAAGCTGAAAACTAAAAAAATAGTAATAAATAATAAATAATAAATAAATAAACTGAAAATCTTCAATAACGCACATAGCGGTGGAGTTGCGCTTCATGCGACCAGGGTATAAAAATAAGAGAATTTGGTAGAGGTGGAGGTGGCTGCTGATTCTTTGAAGTAGAACATAAGTCTTTATTTTGGTGGGTTCGGAGCCATTTTGTTTTCGGGATGTAATCACAGCCCTCGTCGGCTTTGTTGTTGCGGAGCTCCATCAAGATGCAATGCCGTGGATGAGGTAAGGCCACCAGAAAGAGTACATAATTTAATTGATCAGTTATTAATTTATAAATTTTAGGGTAAATTTGTCTTTTTAGTTATTTTTCGCGGAAAAATTGGCCGGATGGATCGGAATTGGGAAAAATTGAATTGTTAAAGTACTAAATTGACAATTTTGAAACTCATGGACTGAAATTAACAAGTCTCCATTAGTCATAGGACCAACAA